TCTTTTTCCTACCTCCTCCTCTACTCTCCTCTCCACTCCACTCCTCTCCTCGCTTTTCTCTTCTTTTCTCGTTCACTGCCATGGAGTTGGCGTGTGGGTTTCATGTTCAACGCTTCTTGCAACTCTGATGGGGATTAATTGCTCAATGTGTTTGGTTCCTAGTAAAAATCACCCCCTTGCTCTTCTTCCTCTTCTTCCTCTTCCTCTCTCTCTTCTTCCTCCTCCTTCATCCTTCCTTCTCCCTCTTCCGTTCTCCGCGATGCTTCTGTCCTCCCTGCTTCTGCTGCCGTTCTTCATGTCCCTCCCCTCTGCCCTTGCTCCTCCTTGTGCTTCTTCACAGCGACACGAGGCACTCCTCCTCCTTCCAATCTCCTCCTCCTCCGGCCTGCGTCCTTCTCCTCCGGCCTGCTCCTCCTGCTCCTCCTGCTCTCCTGCCCCTTCCCTGCTCCTCCTGCTCCTCTTGCTCCTAATGCTCATCCTCCTCTCCAGCAAAATCCGGATCAGGTCGAAGGACGCGAGACCTGGTGCGGCGTTGGCATCGGCATCTCCTCCATCTGGCCTTACACCATCACGAGGTCTTCTCCGACCTTTCCTCCTGCCTGCTCATTTCTCTTCCTCGTTTTCTCTCCTCGCTCCTCTATTTGCATCCTACCTGATCATATTTCCTCGCTTCTCTTCTCTACTTCTTCTTGTCGCTCCCCTCCTCCCCGCTCTTGTCTGCCCCCTCTCGCTCACCTTTACAGCTGCTGCTGTCCTCTCGCATCTCTCACCTCTTGTGCTCTAGATCATCGCAGTCAACGACATCCCCGTTGAGGCGCTTGCTGTCGAGGTGTGTAGCCCCTTCTCCCTCTCCTTCTCCTCTTCTCTTTTTCGCTCTCTTCCACTCATTTCTCTTGCAGGAACTCCGCCTACTCGTCAAGGGACCAGCGAGCAGCTTGGTACCTCCTGTCCTGTCCTGTCCTGTCCTGTCCTGTCTTGTCCTGTCCTCAACTCTCTTGCCCCCCATTCTCTGCTTCCTTCCTTCTCTCTCCCCTTCTTTGTTTCGTTCCTCCCCTCTCCTTCCTCTTTCTCTGCTTAATTCTTTTCCCATCCTTCCTCCTCACATGCATCGGTAGGTTCAGCTCACAGTGCAGTCGACGAGGTGGTGGGACGCGTCAAGCAACAAGGTGAGCCAACGAGGGGCGGCAAGTGCAGCTGACGCCTAGCAGGTGATTGTGGAGAGGAGGACGCAGCAGCAGCAGCAGCAGCAGCAGCAGGATCATAGCTATAGCATCCACGTGAAAGAGTCCGAGCAAGAAATTTTCTCCAAATCGACTTGAATAATCGAAAAGAACAACACGCTCCTGCTCCTCCTCCTCTACCTTTAGGCCACCGAGTTCGGGGCAAGGCCTTGCCGGCCGCATCCTCTGGCAGCTTCTTGTGCCTGCCGTCACAGAAGGGAGCGTTGGCCGTCTGCTTGCACTGGCACAGCTTTCGCTGCTCAGTTGCCGTTGCAGTGTAGGACATGGGCTTGAACGCAGTCCCTTGGAGAGAGCCATCGCAGAACGGCTGCTTTTTGGAACGCCCGCAGGTGCACCAGTAGTAGGTCTTCCTCCTCAAGGTCCACTGGCACCGAGGACCTCATCGCACAGATAACCTTGTCCGCATCTTCGATCTCTGCCATGCTGCGTGGCAAACCAGCGTCAGCGCTCCTTCGAGCTCAAGGGATTCCCGAGCTAATTCGCAATGGGACATCCTTCCTCAATCATCACGGCGTTCTCGTTGGACCGCCCTAGGAATGTCCACATTGGAGCTCTTTGTAACATATCTGTTCCCTCTCCTTCTCTCTTCGAGCAGAGCAGCAGTTATTGCTCCAGCTGGAGGAGAACAGATGCTCTATAATATGATCAAGTCGCACCGCAACAGGCCGGGCGAGAGTCCGCGGACTCCCACCTCCTTCGCTCTCGATCTCGCGGATCTACCTTCGCGGTCCTGAGTCCATCCCGACAACATTAGCATCAATCTCCTCCTGGCTGTATGCCCACCCGTACTTTCTTAAAAGTATGTCTTTGTTTTCCACATGTCTCACTGCGAACTTGTAGAGGTTCTCCTTCTTAACGATAAACACAATCCTCACCTCCCAGTTCCCCTCTGGCTCAACGCCCAAAGAATCCAGGCACTCAGACATGTATCGCAGTTTGAGGTCATGTGTCTCCGCAATGGTCACTTGCACGAAACACACCGACGTCTTGTTCCAGTCCACGATCACTGCATCGTAGCCTCCTTGATTCCATTTCAATGGCTTCAGGCACATCCGCGTCATCCCATTCCTCCGAGCCTCGTCGATTTCGCTTGTGTCCAGATCTTTCACAGCGTACAATTCCCAGCGGTCCCATTTCTCTGGCACGCCTGGTGGCTCTGACTCCCTCCCTGACCTGAGCAATACCTGCAGCCCTGGCTCTCGTCCTATCCGAGCAAAGAACAGCATCTCAAACAACACACCCTTAAGTGTCGGATTCGCAGCAATGCCAGAGAGCTCCTCAATCTCCCTCACAAAAGATTCTCCAAGCCTCTGTGCTAGCTCCGTGGCAACAAACCTGCTCACAGGCGTCCAGTACACTTGGCTTCCCATGCGATACTTCCCCTGTAGCCGATTGACAAACTGGTCTGAAGTATCGCCCATGCTCATGTCAATGAGCTTCTTGTAATCAGCGACACTGTCCATCGCTTGACGAAGATCGTTGATTGCTTTCTCTGTCGTATGTTCGAACATATATCGGCATGAGCCTCCAACAATCTGAAACTTCGACTCCACCTCTCTAGACCTTTTCTCTGCTTCTGTCACATTCGATTCCAAGCTCCATTCCATCACTCCAGCCACACTCACGTAGAACAACTCGTGCCTAATGGCCTCCAGGTACTCCTCCAGTGTCCACGAGTACACCATCAGCTCCTCTACTTTCTCATTTCTATCTTGCTCAGGTTTTTTCTTTGCTCGAGAATTCATCGATGTCGTGATTACAACCCGCCGATTGGCCCGGTCCTGGTGGAGCCACAATACACATTCAGTAAGCACAGACTCATGTGACCCCTGTTGATAACCGTCCAGGGACACGAGATACTTCTTGTCGCTCTGTGTCCATTCCCGAAGAATCCTCCTCAGCCCCTTGTCAATCTCATTGCGTGTCATCTCAACAACTCTCAACACTCCTTGATCGACTTGTAGGACTTTGACTGGACCCCACTTCCACACCCGTACGCACATCACTCCCCATTTCTTGTCCTTGCTCAGCGATAGGAGGAAGGACATGGTTGTCATCGTCTTCCCCGTTCCTGGAGGGCCCAGGATCCAACCCAAACACCCGGCCTTGCACACCTTCTCCTCGATGAAACGCCACTGCTCATTGAAGCATTCCCTGCAGTAGAGCACCTCCTGTTTTGCTTGCCCGGAGCTGAACTGATCCACAAAGGATCCACCGAGACAGAAAAGATTGCCCCCCTCTTTGTGCCCAACTGTATCACAATTCCAAGCTATCTCTGTCCAGCAAATGCTGTCTTCCTCCTTCAATTCAAGCTTCTCCCTCTTGATTCCAAGCTTCTCCTTCTCCTCCTCGATCTGCTCTTGAAGCATCTCCTCCTTGATTCTGAGCTCCTGCTTCTCCTCCTTGATCTGCTCTTGAAGCTTCTCCTCCTTGATTCTAAGCTCCTGCTTCTCCTCCTTGATCTGCTCTTGAAGCCTCTCCTCCTTCAATTCAAGCTTCTCCTTCTCCTTCTTGAGGGTTCCCTTCTCCTCTTCTAGTCTGTTTTGCTGGTCCTCAAGCGACTTCAGGACAACCTTCCAGTACTCCTTGTTTTCTTCCCCTTGCCCATAATATTTCAGCATAGCCTCTTCCTTCTGGTTTTGACGTTTCTGCTCCTTCAATTCAAGCTTCTCCTCCTTGATTCTGAGCTTCTCCTTCTCCTCCTTGATTCTGAGCTTCTCCTTCTCCTCCTTGATTCCAAGCTTCTCCTTCTCCTCCTTGATTCCAAGCTCCTGCTTCTCCTCCTTGATTCCAAGCTCCTGCTTCTCCTCCTTCAATTCAAACTTCTCCTTCTCCTTCTTGAGGGTTCCCTTCTCCTCTTCTAGTCTGTTTTGCTGGTCCTCAAGCGACTTCAGGACAACCTTCCAGTACTCCTTGTTTTCTTCCCCTTGCCCATAATATTTCAGCATAGCCTCTTCCTTCTGGTTTTGAAGATTCTGCTCCTTCAATCCAAGCTTCTCCTCCTTGATTCTGAGCTCCTGCTTCTCCTCCTCGATCTGCTTTTGAAGCTTCTCCTCTTTGATTCTGAGCTTCTCCTTCTCCTCCTCGATCTGCTTTTGAAGTTTCTCCTCCTTGATTCTGAGCTCCTTCTTCTCCTCCTTGATCTGCTCTTGAAGTTTATCCTCCTTCACTTGGAGATTATCCTCCTTGATTCTGAGCTCCTGCTTCTCCTCCTTGATCTGCTCTTGAAGCTTCTCCTCCTTGTTGTCTGAGCGCAGTCCCTTGGCCTGCTGCAACCTCTTGCTCCCAACTGTGGACTCCTCCTTGTCGCTGCTATGTCGGCGTTTGGTCATAGCGGCGCTGTGCTAGCGAAATTCCGAAAGAGCTCCTCAGAATCGTCGGGGAGGGGTTCATATTGTAGGGGCAGATTTGAAACTGAGAGATGAAATGTTCTCCTGATTCCAATCGTAGACAGTATCAGAGCGGCAAGTGCTCCATGACTGGGTGGGGGTAATCGATTCACACATAGTACGGGGTTAATGGACTAGTCTAATCCGGATATATGATGGGTGGGGGTCATTTCGGAGTAGGTGGGGGTTTGCAACGATCGCAATGGTGGCGCGTACATGGTGGGGAGGAGAGCATCCAATTTCACAGTAGCAGCACGTTGTGAGCCTGCAGAATATGTACACGTATTCAGAACTACATTTGATATTCTAATCTTAAGTGAATGATATCTTGATTGTGTGTGGTACAACATTCTGTTTTCACCATTTTTTGAGTCGCCAACTGCTGCAGATTTGCATTTGGAAGTACCATGCCGGATGATTTTGGTGTGCTGACTCACTTCTGAAGCAATGTTGATCTTGTACAAATGTACCTGAAAAGGATTTATTTATTAGCAACATCATCTTATACGATTTCACCCATGATGATCTTAGTGCTCCTGTAAGCAATTTCATCGACACGCTGGTCCGCAGATACCAAATGGTCTCTTAATAGGATCATTCTTGCTACAAAGTGAACAACAGAAGGTAGTGTACAAACCCTTTCCATTGCCACTTCTACAGATCCTGCATCTCACTCTTTTCGACCGCTGTGCATTCACCCCTTGTGTACTTTGTTGGATGAAAAATCGAGCGTGGTCGTCAACAAGCATGATCCAACCGCGCTTCTGCTTCATGACTGTCATCATCCACGCTGGTATCTGTGCTATCCTGTCCTCCTCTTCTTGGGATTTAAGACTCTGGAGGAACCTTCGTACGAATTTCTCAT